ATTTTGATAAATCATAAAAATGGGCTGCATTGCTGCATTAATGAGTGACATCTCAGAAACATGCACTCTTACACTGTCATTAGTACAGAGGAAATAGACCGATTTGGATTCTCTGGGAAATATGCATTTCAGTAATATGTGACATGATGCTGTGCCGAGTGTGGGCGGAGCTAAGCCTTGAATAAAGTTGCTAACTTTTGGAAAGAACATTTAGATGCAACTGACCATAAATTAACACAACACACTGAAATAGACATGCAGTACTGTGTAAAGGTCAGAGAACAGCCAATTTTCCAGTGAAAATGGCCATTAATTACAATTTATTCATTTTTCAGGAAGTATGTCTGAGGAGATAAGATATGAGATAATCCACTTGCAGGAGGAAGGAAAAGGTCAATTTCCAAACTGGAGTTTTTTTGAAAAAGATACAGAGAAAATGGGACTCCTCCTTACTGAGAAAAGGAAATTAGATAAAAATTAAGAACATTTGCAAATAATTCAAAGAAGCTGCTGGTGTTCCCAGAGCAATGGACTGACCACCTCAGAGTCCAGACCTCAACGACATTAATTGTGTTTGGGATTATTTGGATGGTGAGAAGCAGAAAATGCAAAACCAAGACTGGATTCTTTTAATGTGTGGCTGCAGATTTGGTTGAGAACCTGAAAGTGAGTCTCCTGAAAAGAATGGAAGCTGTAATAAAGGTAAAGAGTGACACACTGAACACTAAAATATTATATTGTATTTAGTTTTCTGCTAAATGTATGTTATGTTATGTAAGTTTTTGATGCTGAAAAATGAATAACTTGGCTGTTTTGACTGGAAATAAATGTTGGGTGGTCTCTGAATTTTGCACACTGCAAAAAATGGCATCTTGTCGAGTGAAATGATTCTAAATCTGGTCAATACATCTAACGTTTCCCCCTTATTATAAAAATATCTGGCTTATTTCCAGATTTTTTAAACTATTTTAGGTCATTTTATTAAGTAAAATTATCTCACTGTACTAGAAGATAATTTTGCTGGTTTTAAGCACATTTCATGCAACAAGCACAACTATCTGCCAATATAGTGAGGTAATTTTAGTTGCTTAAATTACAAGTAAAAAATGTCTAGAAATAAGGTAAATAATCTTAAACTAAGCTTACAGCAATCTCAACAGGAGAAATATTAGATTTCTTGACTATATTTAAGATAATTTTACTTGACAATATATCATTTTTTGCAGTGCACCGTGCTGTATTTCTGTGGAGGTTTGACATTTTATGATACAGTCTAAGAGAAGACATACTGGAGATGCAGTATATCACAAAAGCTGAAAATGATGGGGACCAAAATCTTAATTTCTGCATGCCTTTAACAAGAAGACTTCATTAGATAAAATATTAAACATGATGTTATAAAATGTACATAAATAGTCAGACTGTGGTTCTTCCTGTAAAAGACACCAGTAGGACAATTTAATATCTGTTTTTAAAATTATCATCATATAAAGTGCCAACTAATCACTACCGACTTGAGAAGGTACATTTGAATCAATGATTTATTGAACTGAGAGTAGAACTTTATTTTCTCTTTAGTTCTCCTCTACCTCTGCACTCCCTCTGCACTCGCTCTGTATCCCTCTGTATTTGTTGTTTTTCCTAATCGCTCTCCTCTCTCCTCTCTCCACCTCTCAGCCGTACTGTCAGGTCATCTTCAGCTGTCTAAGCACTCAGATCCTGACACAGAATTCCATATTCCCTTGTTTTTCCTCCTCACTCAGCCTTTCCTTCACCTCCTGGATTCCTAATCATATGTGCCAGATGTTATGAATGAGCATCTCTTAAAGCTCCCTCTCCTGGAGGTTTAAAACTAAACCTCCTTCTATAGGAGAGGCTAAGAACTGCACTCGGTGGCATATGATGGTGCATCATCCTCTAGTTAAAGCATGTGGTAAGTTAGTACAGTGTTCATGTCTCACGTCTCAGGTCTTACAGTAGTGTTGAGGTGGACATAGTTGACACAGATCAACTGTACAGCTGTAGTAACTGGCTTGTGATGTTTGTTATGACTGTTGTATTCTGATTATAAGAATCAGAATCAAGCTTTATTGGCCAGGTATGCTTACACATACAAGGAATTTGGTTTTGGTCACAGGATCTCACAGTATCAGACATTTACATGTAGTAAATAAAATAAAATAAAATAAATATAAAGTAAAATAAAATACAAAAAAATAAAGTAAAACATGCATTCCTACATCACTCACTCATACACACACACACACACACACACACACACACACACACACACTGTCATACCTGTAACCTTTACATTGTGCAAGTATGGGTCTAAAGTTAAAGTGCTGAGTGCGGCAGTTAAAGGGTGTATAGTGGCAAAGTAAGGGATCAGTGAGGTGACAGTCAGATAAGTGGAGTAATATGGCAGGTAAGTAAGATGCTAGAATAAACACTGGTCTGAGATGGTTGTTTCAGAGGGTGGAGTTAAGTTTGATACTACATTTAGATATTTGGACAGTGACACAATCTTCATGATTTGGGCTCTGCATGCCACTGCATTGGATTTAAAATGAAACAACTGAGATGCGATTGAAGTGTAGACTTTCAGGTTTAATTCAAGGGGTTGAACAAAAATATCCTATGAAACGTTTAGGAATTGCAACAATTTTTCTACAAAGCCTCCTCATTTCAGAGGCTCAGAAGTAATTGGACAAATTAACTTTACCGTAAATAAAATGTTCATTTTTAATACTTTGTTGAGAATCCTTTGCAGGCAATGACTGCCTGAAGTCTGGAACCCATGGACATCACCAAACGCTGGGTTTCCTCCTTTGTGATGCTTTGCCAGGCCTTTACTGCAGCTGTCTTCAGTTGTTGCTTGTTTGTGGGTCTTTCTGCCTAAAGTTTTGTCTTAAGCAAGTGAAATGCCTGCTCGATCGGGTCGAGATCTGGTGATTGACTCGGCCATTGCAGAATATTCCACTTCTTTGCCTTAAAAAACTCCTGGGTTGCTTTCGCAGTATGTTTTGGGTTATTGTCCATCTGTACTGTGAAGCGACGTCCAATCAACCTTGCTGCATTTGGTTGAATCTGAGCAGAAAGTATATCCCTGTACACTTCAGCATTCATCCGGCTGCTTCTGTCTTCTGTCACATCATCAATAAACGCTAATGACCCAGTGCCATGCATGCCCATGCCATCACACTGCCTCCACCATGTTTTACAGAGGATGTGGGTGTGCTTTGGATCATGAGCTATTCCAAGCCTTCTCCATACTTTCTTCTTCCTATCATTCTGATGCAGGTTGATCTTGATTTCATCTGTCCAAAGAATGCTGTTCCAGAACTGGGCTGGCCTCTTTAGATGTTTTTTGGCAAAGTCTAATCTGGTCTTTCTGTTTTTGAGGCTGATTAATGGTTTGCACCTTGTGGTGAACCCTCTATATTTGCTCTCATGAAGTCTTCTCTTTATGGTAGACTTAGATACTGATACACCTACTTCCTGGAGAGTGTTCTTCACTTGGGTGGATGTTGTGAAGGGGTTTTTCTTCACCATGAAAAGGATTCTGCGATCATCCACCACTGTTGTCTTCCGTGGACGTCCAGGCCTTTTTGAGTTCCCGAGCTCACCAGTGCGCTCTTTTTTCCCCAGAATGTACCAAACTTGATTTGGCCACTCCTAACATTTCTGCTATCTCTCTGATGGACTTCTTCTTTTTTTTCAGCCTAATGATGGTCTGTTTCACTTCCATTGAGAGCTCCTTTGACCGCATGTTGTGGGTTCACAGCAACAGCTTCCAAATGCGAATGCCACACCTGGAATCAACTCCAGACCTTTTACCTGCTTAATTGATGATGGATTGACAAGGGAATAGCCCACGCAGCCCATGAAATAGCATGTCCAATTACCTTTGGTCCCTTGAAAAAGAGGCAGCTACATATTAAAGAGCTGTAATTCCTAAACCTTCCTCCAATTAGGATGTGAATACCCTCAAATTAAAGCTGAGAGCCTGCACTTTAAGCCCATGTTGATTATACAACTGTATCTTGAATATGTTTTGGTAAACAGCTAAAAAGCCAAAACTTGTGTCACTGTCCAAATATTTCTGGGCCTAACTGTATATACCAGTATTTTAGAAGAAGGTGAAGATGAACTCTCGCATCTCTCTCTGGTTTCAACCCTACTGAAGAGAAGCTCTGTGTATAATTAAAGAAATAGTATCTTTATGGAGTATTTATTGTATATAGATGGATCATTTTTTATATAAAATAGAATTTTACTTTTTGACAAGGATGGTCAGACAGTGCGCTGTGTAATATTTGGAAGAAAATGAAAAACTGGCCATGCATTTTCTGTCCATGTGAAACTGCATTTTGTATTTTTATTGTAACAAGTGCACATAAGATATCTGTGTGAGCTCAGCAGAGCTTTTGAATTGATTCATTTACAGCTATATGCAAAAGTCTGGGCACCCCAAAAGTGTGATTTTCTACATAAAAAAAAGTTTTACACACCCTCTGCGGAGAACACACTTCTGCACATTTTAATACACACTTACTGTTTATTTACTGAACTTATGTGACTTGTGCACATTTTGTTTTATATTTTGTTTTTTTCAGTATGTTAATCTCAGCATTTCGCTGTCAGAACAAAATCTTGTATCTCCATTTTTGATGTTTTTCAGTTTTCATGATACATGGACCAAAAGAAATGGCCTGGTTCCATTGACTTACATTAAAAGTAAAGGATGTTTTTTCCTTTTTTCCAGCGAAATAGAATTTGTGCACTAAAATTAGCAGAACAAATGCCTTATTTAAGTTCTCTTTAAAGGATGTGTTCACTTCTTTTCACTTAGAAAATCAACAAAACAGTTAGTTTGACTGGTGATGTTCAAACTTTTGCATATGATAATTTAACAGTGACGCCAATTGACATTGACTTTGATTGATTGTCCCACGATTTGGCTATTTGGCTAAGTTCTTATTGTTTCTCTCTTCTAGCTTTGGCCTCAGAATATGCCCAAGTGTCATCATGAACCTGACATCAAGCTCCAAGCCTGGATTATTCACCAATAGCTCCCCTGGGATGCGAGATTATCCTGACATCGCCTTTATCCCGCAAGACCTCTGGCCTGAGGCTGACAACCGGCACGCCAATGTCTCCCTCCTTGCACGGGGCACCAACTTGACCAGCCCTCAAGATGCCATGCTTACACCTACTGTGGTGTACGACCCACTGGGTGGTCACTCTATTTGGCAGGTCATCATTATTGTCCTGCTAACAGGGTCACTGTCTCTGGTCACCATCATTGGGAACATCCTGGTGCTTGTTTCTTTTAAAGTCAACAAGCAGCTGAAGACGGTGAACAACTATTATCTGCTGAGTCTAGCATTTGCGGACCTCATCATTGGGGTTCTCTCGATGAACCTCTACACCACGTACATCATCATGGACAAGTGGGCACTTGGTAACTGGGCGTGTGACTTATGGCTAGCGATTGACTACGTGGCTAGCAACGCCTCCGTCATGAACTTGCTGGTGATCAGCTTTGACAGATACTTCTCGGTCACAAGGCCACTAACGTATAGGGCCAAACGGACGACTAAGAGAGCAATGACCATGATCGGCCTGGCCTGGTCTATTTCCTTTGTGCTTTGGGCTCCTGCCATCCTGTTCTGGCAGTTCTTTGTTGGGGAGCGAACAGTTACTCCAGGAGAGTGCTACATCCAGTTCCTCTCAGAGCCCATAATCACCTTCTGCACGGCCATCGCAGCCTTCTACCTGCCTGTGACCATCATGACGGTGCTCTACTGGCGGATATATAAGGAGACTGAGAACCGCTCCAAAGATCTGGCAGGGCTGAAGGGCTCGGGGAACCAAGGCAAGCAAGGCAACCAAGAGGAAACCACTGCCATGATGCCCACTACAGACAGCTCTCACAGCTGCAGCAGCTACACAGTGAACCCAGCCAGGCCAGAAGGACGGAAGGCGGAAGAAGGCGAGACGATTCCGGTTCTGGCCACTAGGTCGTGGTGGTCGTAAACGTCGCAGCACCGGCGACCCAGAGCACAGCAGTAGCGATAGCTGGAATAACAACGAAGCCGGAGCCTCCATGGACCAATCAGATGAGGAGGAGGAGGAAGAGGGTGCTGAGACAAGGGCCATCTATTCCATTGTGGTGAACCTGCCTGGGATGAACAACCTGCCCAACTCTGAACAAACGGGTACATCCAAGCAAGACCATCTGGAGCCTGAAGGCTTTGCTGCAGAAAGACCTTCCAGCAAAGGCTTCTCCAAATCGCCCACCGAATCCCTGCCTGTTATGGAGGGCTCCAAGCCTTCAGGAGGTTCTTCTGCCTCGAAATCCCCACTTTTCTTTAAGGATGCAGCTATGGCGAAGGGCACTGCCTCCAAGGCCAAGACGCAGGCCAACAAGCGCAAGAAGATGTCACTTGTCAAGGAGAAGAAAGCAGCTCAGACTTTAAGCGCAATCCTCTTCGCCTTCATCATCACTTGGACTCCGTATAACATCATGGTCCTGGTGAACACGTTCTGCGATGACTGTATCCCTGAGACTTTGTGGGCTCTGGGCTATTGGCTGTGCTACGTGAACAGCACGGTGAACCCCATGTGCTACGCACTGTGCAACAAAACCTTCCGCACCACTTTCAAAATGATCCTGCTGTGCCAGTGGGACAAGCAGAAACAGAACAAGCCTCAGTTTCAGCCGAGGCAGACAGCAGTGACCTACAGGAAGAAGGAGTTGATGTAGAGACAAGACGCCGATAACCTGATAGATTTCAGAGCAGCTGACCTGTCCGGTCTAGGGATTTTTCATACAAAGGGATACAGTCCGTTTGCCCACAGTGATGCCTTTTGGTGGGATGAACAATTGTTTGTCCAAAGGGCTGTAATATTAGAGGTGCACCTTTGCTGTTGTTTTGTGCCTCCATTTGGACTCAAGGCAGCCCTCTTCCTCCATCAGCAGAGCGAGAGGCGAGTCAGTACGGCTATAACATCACTGAGGTGTTAGTGGAGACGAAAAAAAATCCCCTTTTTGATGTAAACCTTTGAAAAGAAAGATACTTCAGCTCGAGCCTGGTGTTTCTGTTTCCTGATGTATTTGGCCATGGTGGTCAGACTGTGTTGGTTTCTGTTGTGGTCATTAAAGATGCAGTGTTTTCCCGCACAGGAGTTTGCTTTACGAAGCTGCTTATATACGAATCGTGTGAGGTGGTATTTAGACAAGTGAGTGATTCTGTTTTCGTCCTCATTATGCAGTCCGCTACTCATTCTGTACAAATCATTTTATATATTTTTAAAAGAATATTCAGATAAAAAAAAGTTTTGATGTGTGGGAAGTTTTTGGAGATATTTTGCAATAAAGATCAAAACAGAAATGTTTAGCGTTTGAGAGAAAATGGCTCAAAGGAAGGTAGTCTTAAGATTCTGTTCTTGCATTTGCTGAAGAGAAGCAAATAAATAAATATATAAATAAATAAATGTACCTCTGATTATATGAAGATCAATGCTACCCTCTAGTGGTTGAATGAAGTAAAAGACACAGCAGTCATAAAGGAGCATTAGAAGTTCAACCAAACACTTTTGCCTTTTTTATTTATGTGTTTATTTATGTTATTTATGTTTTTATCTATAAGACATGTTTTGATGTGCCTTTTAAAAGGTGAATCATGAAGACACAACAGCCCTGCACATGTTAGTGCTCCCCCTGCTTTAACACACCCACTCCAGCTCGATGAGGGCCACTGTGGATAAAATTTGGCACCCTTGCACCCTTCCTGAATCCCTTAATTCAATTATTTTTTTCATGTAATTACAACAATGAACAGCAAAATGTCTTGCTTTTCTGGGGAGCTTAATTTTTTTGCAGTCTCTGTGTTGTTATTTCTTGTGTTATTTTTTGTCTTGTACTGTGTTTTAAATGTATGTAAACTACCAGTCAAATGTTTGGACACATCTAACTGAATATCATACACTCTCTGAAATAAAGGTACTGAACTGTCACTGGGGCAGTACCCCTCTTGTTACTAGGGTGGTGCCCTCAATGGTACATCTCAGTACCTTTAGTCAGGGAATATAATTGTACCATAATCCACTGAAATTATATTATCTAAGCTGTATTGACTCCACACACCCCGTCTCGTCTCCAGACTTTTTATTTTATTGTTCTGTTTTAAAACATTCAGTTATGAAAAGGTATAAATATGTACTTTTCACCTGGACAAACTTATTTAATGTTCACAATTGGACCTTAAAACCACTGTTGTACCTTTGAGGGAACATTTACATTGTTTGTACCTTAATGAATGAAAAATGTACCTGCACAGAACCTTTATTTCTAACAGTGTAGTAGTCCAAAGAAAAGTGTTTCCAAAAAAAAATCCAAAATAGTAACTTTACAGGAGAGGGTAAAATTTAAATTTTATTTAATGTAAGTTAATGTAAAGATATTTTATTCCTAGTGATTCTGGGGTATCTCTATTAGATTCTATATTCATCAGAAAATGATCACACAATGTAATTTTCACACAATGTTTGACAAAAATGAATGAATATTGTTTTTTTTTTTGACTGCATTTTTTAAAAATAAGGTATTCTAATCTAAAGGTAAATGAAATTTGTTTCTAAGACATATAGAAACAGTAATGTTGATTCATATATCTGATATCTTTTCCACTTTAAATTTAAATTTTAAAAAATGCGAAATGGTTTTGTTTGTCCAAACTTTTGACTGGTAGTTGGAGTTTGACTATACACGTCTGATCATGTAGTCTCATGCAAAAGTTTGGGCGCCCTGGTCAAATGACACAGTGTTGTTGATATTCTATGTGTAAATAAGTGAACACACCCTCCACAGAGAACACACTTCTGCACAGTTTAATGCACAAGTACTGTTTATTTACTGAATTTAACATATAGGGAACAATTTAGCATGAAATGTGGACTGTGCAAAAGTTACAGAACATTTTAGATTTCATGTTTTATTGTTTTCCAATATGTTAAACTCAGCAAATTAACGGGCATCATGCATTTTATGCAGAAAAATGACTTATTTAAGTGTGTTCTCTGTAAAGGACGTGTTCATTTATTTCCACTTAGAAAATAAAAAAAAAGGTCATTTGATTGGGGTGTTCAAACTTTTGCATTCGACTGTATTTGTCTTATTTTTTGTGTTGATATGTGTTGATAAGATAACGTACTGTATATGAAGAGGGAAATTAAAGCTGGGCTGTATTTGAACTGTTTTTACGCTGATTGATCAAAAACATTAGTATTTTTAACTTTCAAACTCACAGTATCATTTTTGATTGTGTATTCATTTGATCAGTGTGTAGTGCTTTTTTTCAAAATTAGAGTCTGGTTAACTGCTGTAGCCTTTACACATATTCTGTGCCCTATTTAAATATTTTTTTTTCCTCTGGTCTGTTATACTGCTTCCCTGAAAAATGATCATTACTGCGTCCAAATCATCCTCCGAACAAGAGCTATAAGGACATATATTCTAACATGGTGCTTAGTGCATTCCCTCTTTTAAAATCAAAAAGCAAACAGGGTTGCATAGTTAGCCTAATAACTTAGGCCTAAAAAACAAGCCTGTCCAATAGGAGAAGAGCTAAGAAACATTTTTATTGGACAATCCTCAACTTTTGGCTTTAGGGTATCCCAGGGGTCGGCAACCCAAACGTTAAGAAGAGCCATTTTGTCCTTTCAACAAAAGTCAAACCACCTTGAGAGCCACAGCATTTTATGTCCATTTGTACCATCGTGGTTGTAAATATGTCTCAGTATGTGCTGATGTACTAGTACAGGCTAATAAAAAAAAATAAATGACAACACAGCCTTACTTTGCTTTGTTTTAAGCTTTAGCTCAGCTATAGCTGCTTTTCTCGCATCTCCAGCAGGAAACTTTTCCACAAAAATAGAATAGTTTCTAGTAAAATGTCTCTCAACATTCAATTTTTTACGAGTCAGCTTCTCATTCACCAGCTTCTTGTTTGAACAGAATGTAACTGCTGCTCCATTTAAGGTGGAATGGGAAAATTAGAACAAGAAGCTGGTGAAAGAGAATCTGACTTCAGCTTTGTAACTTTTTAGAGTTTGACAGTTTCTCCTTGCAGTTTAAACGTATCAGGAAACCAGCTGGAGAGATTATAAATGCACGTAAGTCCATTCGTCTCCAAATTATCCACGTTCATTTTAAATCTCTCTCTTTTCATTAGCTACTAGCTAGGTGAGATTGTTGCCTTTGTTGCTATGTGACCAGCAGTCTGAGCACCAACCTTCAGGGTTAAAGGGTGAATTAGAAGATATAGGCTACAATAACTCCAGAGTTTAAGACCATTTATTATTAAAACTGTGTTGAACGACCAGCAGAGCTTTATTTTACTGCGAAGGAGGATTATTTTATTTTTACCTAAGAATCTAATTCTGCTCTGGAGCCGCAACAGGACAGTAAAAGAGCTGCATGTTACCGACCCCTGAGTTACCCAGTTTACTGAGAAATCCTGCTTTTTAAAATACCCCCAGGTCTATACAGTCAAGTATGGAAATTAAACTGCAAAAACAACCTGTTTTGATATCTTTGTTTTTGTGATGTCATGACAGACCAACACACCTACACACATCTGCCTATTCAGCCTACAGCAGTTTAGCCCTGCCCACTCACACTGATGTTGTTATAAGGAGTGTTTCAGTGACTTGAACAGCCTGTTTAATTGTAAGGGATGAAGTGAGATTGGAAGTGGTCATGGAAAAGTGGACTGAGATTGTTTTAGATAAATAAAACTACACAAAAATAGAGGGAAAAAAAGAGAAAATAGAAGAATAATGTAGACTATGGGCCCTTTTAAGAACCATTCTCTAAAGGTTCCTTACGGGAACCAAAAGTGATTCTTCAAAGGCATCGCTCCATCGCACTTTTGGTTTTAAGTTTATGATGATTTAAAACATGACAGACCATATTTTAAATCAATGTCAAGCTTGTAATGAATAATAAGAACAACCTTAACTCTGGTTCTCTCTCCCTCTCTCCCTCTCTCCCTCTCACACATACAGTCTATCTGTTCTTCTTAAGTAAGCAAATGAGTTAAAATATATATTGCATGTTGACTTTTCTTGACATTCTTTATTACTCAAAAAGTGTAATCACAGTTTCAGTTCTGCACATATAAGTATCGAATACAGAGCGAACAAAGAGCGTAAATTCATCCACTGTGTTAAAGGAGAACTCCACCAATTTTTCAAAATGCGTGTATAATTCAGTGGTTGAGATACAGAGTCATTTGGAGTGGTTTGATGTGAAATGGCTCATCGTAGAGAAACATACTGACTGATTTCTGTACAGTGGTGCTGATAGAAACCAGTGGTCGTAATGTCTACAACACAAATAAAGGCTTTTTATTTGCTATCCAAAATTTTATTTGCTATCCAATACGTTTTCTTTGGCTTAGAACAACTTTCATGTATTCCTCCATCATGAATGGATTAAAATGTATTTTAGACCAAATTCTTTTTTTCTAAAAGTACTATAAAACAATGAGTGCGTTTACATGCACTTAATAATCCGATAACTGCAGAAAATCAGATTTTGTCAGAAATCCGATCAATGCGTTTATATGAATTTAAGTAATCAGATACGTGAAAACTCCAGGTCTTCATGAGTCAGACAGTAATCAGATTTCTGCTTTACAACCGGCCGATAAACTCACAGAAGAAGATGTGACGTAAACATAATGTAAAACTCTTTTTTTTTAAAACATCAAATTACTTTACCTGCGAATATAAACATACATCATCTAGAAGATGAAGAATATTTAAATCCTTCATTTCATCAAGCATGTAGTCGCTTTCAGCGTCACTCCAAAAGTATTTTGCTGCATCTCGCTTATTTCTGGTACAGCAGTCTGTTTTCGCACATGCGCAGGCTGAGAAATCCGAAAGAAATCAGAGTAAGAGTTCACATGCACTGAGAAATCTGATTACTGAGATGAAAATCCAGCTCTCTTATTAGATTTCTTAATCAGATTTCTAGACCTTACTCCGATCTAAGGAACCAGAGTGCGCTGTTTACATGACCATTTGAATAATCAGATAACTGCAGAAATCTGATTAAGACCGGATTATTGAGTGCATATAAATACACTCATTGTCTCAGAGATTAGACAGTGTATTCATAAGCATTTCATGTGATAATTTTCTGTGCTGTAGCTTTGAGAGGCATTAAACTCCTCAGACATCCAGTTCCTATCACCACCACTGTGAACAACTGTGACTCTGTAAGTTTCTCTAAAACAGACCATTTCACACCAAACCACTGAATGGTTTTGCTGACATGTTAACCATTTAATTATGTATAAATGTTGAAAAATTGGTGGAATTCCCCTTCAAAGTTCCAGACAAACCATGTGCTGTAATCCAGAGTCAACTAGACTGTTGAAGGACAGTTTATCTTTGCCACTGACTTTTTATGAAGCCTTTTCTTGCCATTTCTCTTTTAGTTTGCTTATGAAAATCACCAATAACCGCATGATGACTTTTGTAACTAAGCGATTCTGAATGTTTTCTCCCGACTGTCCCTTTTTGGGAGGTGAGAGAAGAACATTTTTTTATTAATGTATTTCTGAGTGCAGTTAAGAGTGGTGATTTGGACGCACCTCTCACATACGGTAGCCTTCGAGGGACAACGTGATCTAAAACTGTGAAGTGTGTTTCAATGTTGTGACACAGACTTTGTGCTTCTGTACATAGAATCAGACTCATATGGCAGTTGCTTTGTAAGAATGTCTATTTCTTATTGTATTGTTGTTATGGTTCATTTTCTCATTAAATATTAAAGAAGGAGCAGCTGTGTTTGTATTTGTGTTTGAGTTTGAATTTTCTAGTCACGGTGCCATAACCAGCACTGATCACCAGGGGGCAGGATTGTACAGACAGATTGATCTAGTCGTGGCGAAAAAAGTT